TTTTTTTTTTTTTTTTTGGTTATCTAATATTTGCATGAATTACAGTCAAAGTTGTCTTTTTTATGGAAAAAGGGATCTTGGAAGGAGTCCTATCTTCTTAAACATAAAATTCTCAGTTTTAAGTACTTAAATTATTGAGGATTAAGTTGAATTTGTTTCTGTTGCAAACATAACAGCACAGTGTAACTTGTATGACGAAACATTACATGCAAGATAATATCATACAAGATAACACTTTGAAACGTACACGGAACTATAATTTTAAAATGGCCACAAAATTACAACTATCGACGTTACAGTAGCCTTGTAGAATGATTCATACATTTTGGATACTTATAAGAACTTAACACAATAGAATTAATTTAATTTCATATAGCGAGAAATATATGCAAAACTACTTTATTTGTATGTTTTATTTTATTCAACTACATAATATTGTATATAAAATTATATCGTGAATTAATGCACGTAACTGAAATTCGTAAGTAATGTGACCTTTCTCCAGCTATTACTTTGCTAGCATCTCTTTAGCAGATATTTTTATTTGCCCCCTTGATGTATTTAATGTGTGTTTTACATATTTGCATAAATAGAATGTTTATTTTATGTAAATAATATGCAAAATGTGTGTGTTTTTATTTACTATGTTTAAAGTTGTTCATTTATAATCATTTTTGCTGTTAAATATGGCTAGAATTCCCTGTGAACTGGATATGAACATGCTGCATGTGTAATCCCAGTTTTTAGATCCCAAATGTGCTCTGCATGTTATTTATGTAACATTATAACGCGTCTCTTCTGGTTTCTCAGAATTTCTGTTTGACTCATTGACCTTACACATGAAAACACTTTAAAATGTCCTTACCAAATTTGACTCTGTCATTTGGAATTGTATGTTTTTCGAATGAATGGTTGTTGACAGCAAAAAAGAAAAAGGAAAAAAAAAAGATCAATAGTGAAAGTCAAGTCATTCAATATGAACTGATAAGGTTATCTGTTTAGCTAGTGAAATGAATTGAATTGTGTATAAACATTGTTTATTATAATAATTATTATTATTATTATTATATAATCTCAGATACAACATTTGATATTAAGGAGAAATCATTTTTTGTGTTCAGAAGTGGAGAAATCTTGCATTTCTCAATCCTGTGTGTTTAAACATGTCAGACCATTGAGCTAGAAGTGTACTTCTGATACACATTTGATTTTAAAATAATGTAAGAATGTTTTATATTAATATAAAGCTAAATCAAAAGAAATTTATTTCAGCACTTGAACTGGGTAAAAGGAAAGATGAAAGCATTTAAATTAAAAATTATCGATTATAAAATGATCTGTTTTTTCAAATACAGTTAAAACCTAATTTCAATTAATTTTTATGTTTTTAAAATATTTTTCACCCCTCTTTACTTGTATGAATGATTTTTTTTTTTTTTTTTTACTTTATATCAAGAAAAATTCCTGTGAAATAAAATGTTTTTAAAATATTTTTGTATCCCCCTCTGGGGGGACGTACACATACCACAGTTTAAGAACCACTGCCTTAACTTGTACATTGAAAACAAACGTAGTAATGAGTAGTGTAAAATAGATTTTTTATTTGTACACATCCTAGTACCTTATTTATGTGTTTGATTTTTTTTTTTACTTACAGATGTTTACCAATGAATTTCACAGAAGAAGATTTAAGTAAAGGGGTGTTGAGAGACAGAGCCAAGATTGGAACCAGTTTAGCAGACATTGATCCAATGGAGGTTGATAAATCTGTGAGTAATTTTGCTAAGTAAAACATTTCAAACACATTCTTTTCACTCTTATATTTTTATTCTTATTATTAATAAATTTTCTTTAATAGCAAATGTTTATAAGTTAATTATAATTTTTTCACGGATCTTATCAATCATGCTACTGTAGTACTTTATACTATGACATTCAGTGTTACATTTTACAAAAAATAAATAATATTCTTATTAGTTACGAAGTTGCCCTTTTAATAAACTTTTCATAACAATAAAAACCCTTGTGTTAACTGCTTATTATTGGAATAATGTTCAAAATTAATTTTATAGTTTTGGAGTCTTGGCATTTAATATCCATTTCAGTGATTTGGATGAACCATTAGGTTTCATGTTAGTTATTGAATGGTATAGTTTATTTCTAAGTCAGATATGAAATCCTTGGCATTTGCTCTATGAACAACTGAAGTCTGATATTTAGAAAGGTAGCATGCCTAGTTCTGTCGGTGAAACATTGAATAATTTTTTTAATTATTGTACAGTTTTTGTTCGAACAGTTAAGTCATATATTTTAAACAACAGCATAAAACACCTCTTTAGACTTACTAGATCTCTTTTGTGGGAGAGCCTCGTTTTACAAGATCGATTCTACTTCATTAACCCTATGAACTCAGCTCAGTTCTGTGAATTTTACATTCAAAATTTAATTAAACGTGGTTATTATCAGTGTATCTCAAAATTAGTATCAATATGTAGATTATAATAAAAAATTTTATATTATCTAAATTTTAGTTTCTTAATTTCTTAGGAAAATATTTAACGTTATTTCTGTCTTCACTTTATTGTCACATAATGTACACCTCTTTTAGTCCGTATGGTTTCAATAGTATAACATCTACAATGCCTAAGGAATGTTAACACAGTTTCTTAATTAAAAGGTCAAATGTAAAGTATCAAAGTCCAAACTTCTTCACTTACTAAGATATCAGTAAATTTTTCCAATCTACAACAGAAACCCCACCCATCTATCCTAAATTTCAATGCAATTTTCAAAACCATGCATGTTTATATTTAATAGCTAGAGCCTATTTTCCACTCTTTTAAGCTTTCAACCATCATTTTCAGTTTGGTGGCAATGGTGCTGTTTACTGAAAGCTTATGAAATTTTTTAAAAATCTACTTGGTAAATGTGGATTTACAGTAAACTTAGCTATGTATAGCTTCACAGAGATGGGCTGGTAGAAACTACCAATGTTGTGCCCATAGAGTTAACAGAAGGTGTTTCTTGATTTCAGTTGGTCTTGCCTAATGAGCTCACTTTACTTATTATTCCAGTTCAGTAGTTTATAGTTTGTATTTTTTATACTTCTTTGTCTGCATAAGATAGTTTGGAATTTATTAAGATGTTATTAATGTTAAGAAGACATCTCAAGAAAAAACACTTTTCAGTAACCAAATGTATCACTTAAAAAATGAGATGGAATTGCTAATTTTTTTATCTTAATTTTCAAAATACTTGTATCCTTGAAAGCATGTTTGAGTAAGTAAAACCTGTTGTACGAGTAAAGTCTAATTACATACAATTGCATTAAAACTTTTAAAGGGTTAATTGCTGGTCAGTTGATTGAGGAGAAGTTGATCTAGGTTTTTTTTCTTGGGTAGGTTGAACTGAAACAAAACTGGAGGAAAGACTCGGTATTAAAAGAAAAGATAGAAATGTATTAAATAATTTGAAGAGTTTTTAAGGAAAAATTTAAAAAATTGTACATTGAAAAATAATCACTCGTCTTGGAATTATTCATAAAATGTGGAGTTGAACCTGAGGAAATTGGAAACATTGCTTTTAATTTGAAATATGATGTTTTGGATGTAGAACCCTGAGCTTAAATAAGACTGAGACAATTTTTCTGGAAATTAGAATGTAGATTTTAGTTTGAGGATTTATTATCCTAAATATTAGTTATAACAATGGAATTCTTTCATTTTTCTTTATTTGTTAGTTTATTTTTTAAGTATCTTCAGGGATTGTAAATATAATGTTTGCTGTTACCCCATACTGGAATTATGCATTCAGCCAACTATGATCATCATTACTTGGGAAAACATTGTATTGTGGTTGTCACTTTCTAATTTAAACATTAGTATTTGGTGTTGACCAAAAAAATATGATCAAAGAGCGATAACATTTCAGATGGTTTATCACAAGTTATGTGTTAACAGAAAAAATGACTTATGTTGCTGTTTCTCTGCAGGTATTTTTTGAGAGTATTGGAGGTCTAGACAGCCATATTCAGGCTTTGAAAGAGATGGTTCTTTTTCCTTTGATGTACTCAGAAGTGTTTGAAAAATTTAAGATTTCCCCTCCTAGGGGAGTACTTTTTCATGGACCACCTGGTAAGTATTTCTTATACTTGAGTAACGATACAAAGTCATTCAAAGAATCATTTTTATGGAAATGCCTGTGGCTGAGTATATAAAGTGATGGTTTGGTGTATGGGACAGGCCTCTGTTTAGTAACTAATATTTTTTCACTCTTTATTGTTTTTACAACTTCAACAGGAACAACCTGCTACTTACGCTGCTAGAATCATAGTGCATAACAGACTATATATATATACACACACACTTTTAAATTTGTTTTATAGACCAGTAAAGAGTATGGAAATAGGTAATGTTGTGTTTATTGAAACAAAAAAAATATTCAAGAACATCATTGTCTAATGACATAAGAAGTAGGCAAACAACCTAAAATTATAGTGAAAATTATTTGAATATTGACATAAAAAGAGTTACACATAATGTACATTTGTTGTAAGTAACTACATTAAATTGTAATGTATTTCAAAATTAAACCTAACTAGAGGGGAATAAATAAAGAATCCAGATCATAATACCCATCTTGTGTCATGATTAATTTATGACTTAAATTTTGAACTAACTAAGGCTTCTTTATATTTATAGTAAAAAAAAAAAAAAGAATCATTAGCCGCAGCAAGGATTTCTGTTTGTAAAGGACAGTAAAGATTTGTACCTGTGATAGTGATCTACTATGGTACACTGGCATCTTTGTTGAATCGTGTCATTAAAGATGCAGGAGCAATTGATAACAAAATGTTTCTTATATATTTGCTTGGAAAATCTGCAATGAATTTTACATCGCAGAAAAATCTCTCGCTTTACATAACAGATTTGTTGAACACGTAAGAGCCATAAATGACAGAAAAATTTGTTTGTAGCTTTCAAACACAGGAATGAAAAGAACATTCATTCAAAGGAACTACAAAATTTTAAGATCTCTGGTCTTTTTAACTTCCCATTAGATTTCTTTGTTCATCTTACTGGAGTTAGTTTTGTTTCTTTCCCACAAAATCATAATTTATTATTTAGTTCACTTTACACTGATGTAAATCTTTTATAATCTGCTCTATCTAATTTTACTTAAACATTGCTTATATCTATTTTTAAAGCCAACCTTTATTAATAATTGTTCTGTCCACAAGTTCTGACATCATAGAAGGGTGAAGGGAAAGGGCTACAAGTATAAAACCACTGAAACAGAAGGAAAATCACAGCAGAGGAACAAAACCTGAATAATTATAATCTCAATAGACTATAGTGTTACGAGTTTTTATTTTAGAATTGGAAGAAAAATGCTAAAGAAATATGATAAATGCATTGTTACAGGTAAATTTCCTTGGAACTGCACAGGAAGGAAATTTGGAAAATATTATCCATTTTTCTTTTTAAATTATACTAAATTAATTGTTACAGTAGACATAATATCAATTCTAAAATATATTTCAATTAGAAATTGTTGTGATAGAGATAGGAATATTAGGTAGAGTTAAAATGCCAGTTAAAGTTTAGTTTTATGTGATGCTATCGTATAATTATTCTTTTAAAATTTTACATATTGCATCTTAATTTCCAATTTTTACACACAATTAGGATATGAAGTTTGAATATTTGATAATAAATGTAGTACTGCATGTTTGCCATCTACACTGAAGAAAAGTAAATTTATATTCTTTTTTTCTACATTGAAAATGTTTGTTTTTTCTTTATATTTTCATATTCATATTTTATATAGGGATATTGATAGTTTTTCAAATCAAGTTATTTTTATAAGAGGAAATCGTTGTCATACAAAAATGGGTTTTTTATTTTTACAATTATTTTTAATTTCAGTTTCTATCCTACATATTAAAAAAAGTATAGGTTTTACATTACTTGAATAATTCTTTTACTGTAGGAACTGGAAAAACTTTAGTAGCTAGAGCTTTAGCAAATGAATGTAGTCAAGGAGATAAGCGTGTTGGTTTTTTTATGAGAAAAGGAGCAGATTGTTTGAGTAAGTGGGTTGGAGAGTCAGAACGACAGCTTAGATTATTGTTTGATCAGGTGAGTTTCAAGATTTGAAAATACTTTTAAAATTAAAGCACTTAAGTATTTTTGTTTGTTAGTTTCAAATTAATAGTTGAAAGTGTGTATTAGAATATCTTGAGATATGGTATTTGTGTCATGCAATTGGAGCATGAACTGATCAAAACTTTGGTCTATAGTTTCTTGTTACCATAGTTTTGTTTTTGTAGTGTAAATAGGTAATGGTTGAAAGACTGTGTGTACTGGGAGAGGTCTGTGGGTTAACAAAAATCACTGTACTTTAGAGCCATAAGTGCATTATAGTCAAATCCCACTAGTTGGTAAGTGGGTGTACTTGACTAGATCTAGGTGATCAGTGGTATTTGGTAATCAATTAATTGATGGCCCCATTTGTTGATTACATTTGATTAATCTATCAGTAAAGTGTTTCTCAAACTCAAACTGATATATACAACCAGAAAAAAAAGGTTGGTAGCACGGTTCTGCCAGCCACATGCCTTCCCACTAATTGGCAGTTTAAAATTAGTGGCAAGTAACATTAGTTGCTTTACCATGATAAGGTGACCAAGTTTTGCAACTTTGGAAATTAAAACTCTTGAATCACGAACCCCCTCCTGAACTACCTAAGCTGAAACAAAATTAATGTGAAGAAAATAAGGCTAAAATTTGACAGAGCAGTGACATTCGTAGATGGTTGTTTGGATGGGCTTAAGCTCCCTGCTTATCTTCTTTTATGGCCGAAAAGTGCCATTTTTCTTAGTCATCAAAAATTTCAGCAACCAATAAGGGATATGCACGATTCTTCACCTTGCTTGTTGCAAGTTAATAAGTAAAGAAAATCAGCTTTAAAATGAATTGCATACAGGGACTTCTGGGTTTGTAAAGTGTTAATAGAGAATAATTTGCTGCTTAGTTTTAGATTTTAAAGTGTATTATAAGACTTACTGAATTGAAATAAAAGAGGAGATGCTTGCTTCTCAATGCTTTCTGCCACGTGTAACAGAGGCAACCCACTGTCCCAATAGTCTCCTCTAACCCCCACCCCCTACCCACCCAGTGTTTTGCCCTATGTTTTGCACAGATAGCTTATTGTGTATTTTTGTGCTTAAAACAAAACAATATAAACGAAATTTGAAATAATTAAAAATAGTAATAAAGAGAAACCCTAATTTTGATTAATTGATTATTAACTTGACAATGGATTTGATTGTAATTTTCAATTAACTGATTGTTGGAATAATTGATCAGTCAATTAGTGTACATGACATTAATTAATATAATCATCGTTTATACATAATTGAATAACTTGTCCAGTTCTACTCTTGACTACCTGTATTTCCTCTAGTCTGTCATTTCAATATTAGGGACAACTTTGCTTGAAAATTATAAAACAAAGAAATCAAAATCAAAGACTACATATCTGTAGTTTCAAAAAAGCTTTAAAAAAACTTCCTTAACTTTAAGAGTTATTAAATCTTTAAAGTTTGCAAATGTATAAATCTAAATTAATGTTTGCTAATTATTAACTGAAATAAGTGTTTGTTCAGGTTTCATAACTACCAGTAATTCAAAGTATTATTGTATGCTTAATAAGATGTACTGTTTGTTTGTATTTTGTGCTTATGAAAATGTAATTTTGATTTTTTCTTCACAGGCTTACTCAATGCGTCCATCAATCATATTCTTTGATGAGATTGATGGTTTAGCTCCTGTGAGGTCTACCAGACAGGATCAGATACATAGCTCTATTGTTTCCACATTGCTGGCTCTAATGGATGGTTTGGATAACCGGGGAGAGATTGTTGTCATTGGTGCCACAAATCGTATTGACTCAATTGATCCAGCTTTGCGTCGGCCTGGCAGGTTTGACAGGGAATTTCATTTTGGATTGCCATCTTTGGAGGTTTGTTTGCTTTCTTTTACTATCTTTAATAAAACTTTGAATGTCAGTCATTGACAATATTTAGGTACAATTTACCTTAATAATAATAATTGAGATATTATCAAGTAATATTTATAAAAGGTTAAACAGTCTATTATTACATGATTAAGGTGAATAAGACTCACTGTGCTATATTTGTGGCTAAGTTTTCATTGTGAGTAATATTGTATAATTATACAAAAATAAGAATTTTTTGTGTGAAAAGATCCATAAAACCAACCCAAACTCTAACAGATAGTTGATGGTCTAAAAACTTTCTGCTTTATCACACACACTTAAAATTATTAACTTATGCTTTATCCTTTAAAGCAACCATTAAAATATAGTGAGGTATAAAAACTTAAATTATGATTTTTAATCTTAATCTTTGCTTTACATTTTCACTACGTGTATCTTTTTCTGCATGTCATGAGGTTTAGTGAGTTACATTCAAAATTTAAACTACTTTTTTATCATAGTGTACAAATAAATTTGGCATAAAAACATACTAATAATACAAATTTTAATAATATACAAGTTTTAAGTTCTTCATTTTATAAAACTATTTCAAAAATATCCTGAATTTCCTCTAGTATTGAATTTTCTCTTTAGGCATCCCCTCTTCTCTAATTTATTTACCACCTCTCCAAGAAGAACAAAATGTAATGTAAATTACTTTGTCATTACTCAGGCAAAGCATAATTTTTATAGTCTTCAGTCTTATTTAGTTACATAGCCATCAAATAGAAAATCAAACCACTCTTGCCATACCCACCTGTCACATCCTTTCTTTCAGAAATTGCCATTAGTTCTCTCTGACGTTTAGTACTATATTATTTATAACTAAAAGAAAGTAAAGGTTTTAACTTATCAAATGACTTATATATTCTATTTTATTTTCAGTTCAAACTTTATTTCCCATGCAAAACACATCGATGGGCTTAGCTGAAATTTTAATGGCTCTTGTTGCATAGTTATAAAGCCAGAAAAATTTTGATAATTATGAGATGTAGTCTGCCTTTTGCATGTTATTATTCTGTGTTCTTTGGTGCATTATTTAATTGAATAATTATATAGTGTAATAGTCTCATTAGTATAAAAAAAAGTTGAAAAAGAAGACTCAAAAACTCAAGTAACTACTTTATTTCTTGTTTGTCATGTATATTCTTGATTTATTATTATAAAAGTAATTAAAATGTTGTAAATTTTTAGGTTAGTTTGGGTAGAATAAAGAACAATAGTAATCACTAACTTATTCTTTTTGTCACTTTGTCGTGAATGCTTTCACGCTCCTTTTTTGTTAATGCTCAACAATATACATCATTCCTTAGCAAAAAAAACTATCATCTGATTGTTCTTAGGCCAACTATGGTCCTTATGTTGAATGCTCAATATTCATGTTGATTTGTTAGAAAGACCCCCCTCCCAGTGGTGCAGCGGTATGTCTGCAGACTTACAATGCTAGAAACTGGGTTTTGATACCCATGGCGGGCAGAGCACAGATAGCCCTTGTGCAGCTTTGTGCATAATTAAAAACAAACAAAACTTGTTAGAAAGATTTGGTTTTTATTCTTTATTTTTTTGCTAACTTTGCTGATATAACTGCAAAATAGTTTTAATTCAGAAGTTTATGACATTTAGTTGTAGCCAAAAGAAAAATAAAATTTACCGAGTAGTGTTCCAGCTAAACCTTACATTACATTATTATTATTATTACTATACAAGTAGGCCTATTATTACTAACATTATAGAATCAGTGCTTAAAAAGTTTTAATTGGTAAATAAATGTTAATTAATAAATCAATTAATAAATATAAATGTTTATTACTTCCAAATATCTTTTTTATCCTTTGTAAAGTCAAAAGAGTTGAAAATTTGTATTGGAATGTCCACACTATGTTTTCTACTTCCTGACCTAGAATACAGTGAAAAGGCTGAAGAGTGCTATTTAAGTTTCTTTCAGAGTGCACACACATTTTGTTCATGTTAACATTTCATTTTTCTGTGTAGTTTTTACTAAAAATGTGGTGATTAAAGAATTACTTTGAAACTGATGAAATAAGTGAAGAGTAAGTGCATTTTGGAGGTACAGACAAATTCCTTTTAGTTAAATTCTATAATTTTCATAAATCACTCAGCAATGGTTTCCTATAATTTTTGATGGGCTTTTATACTAATAATAATAAAAAGTTTTCATGAGGTACACTTTCCAGCAGCTCGTGAGTAGCTTATGCATTATGGAATTTGATAGAGTAATGTGGTGTGGTGTGAATATTGGTTAAACAATTGTATAAACACTAGTATTTAAGTATAAACAGATGTATACTGTTACAAGTTTAAAGCTATTTAAGATAAACAAATGCAGTTTCATGTAACAATTTGAAGCCCTTCTAGAAAGATCAAAAGGGTAACTATACCAACCTCGTATAGAATTAGGGTAGAGAAAATAACAGATGAAATAAAGTTTTACTGAAAACAAAGTGTTGAAATGTCTTTAGGAAGTTTTAGAGATTACATAATTTGAGATTTTTCAGAAGAAAAGTATATTTTAATCTTAACATGAAAATCACTTTGCACTCGGAGCATCAACACTTTGACTCCATATGTTCATGGAGAAATGTTTAGTGAAAATACTTCATTAAAAATTCTGATTTTTTGGTCTACAAATGGCTTAATAATTACTGAAAGCTGACAAAATTACTTGAAGATACACAAAACATATTTGAAATTATAGTATGGAAATTATAAAGGTCAATTTGGGGTCATGAACTTTGCTGTTTCAACTGCACCCATAAAGAGAGAGTTAAACAGATGTTAATGAACTCTTAGAGCACTAGTTGCATTACTACCTTGAATGTTAGATTAAAAAAAAGGCTATTCCTAAACTTGATTTTTTCTTTATATTATAAGTTCATTATACTTGTATTGCATAAAACTTTTCTAGTTAATTTTTAAAATGTAGAAAAAAAGGATACAAGCCTTATTTATATATATATATATATATATACATAAGCTGTGAAATATGTTTGACCTTATTTCCAAATAAATAAGTTAAACATACTTTGATCTACTTAACATTCAGAATTAGAGAATGTATTCTGTTTGTAACCTTTGGCCATAAAGTCATCATATAAATGAATAAGACTGACTCGTGAACCTCTGTCCTGTGGATACAGCAGCATCTGACTGCCTATAATTTAGTTAGATTCTCATGTCATATATAAGTAGACAAGCAGAGCACCTTTTTTTTTATTTCCTCACTGCAAAGCCTCGCAGAGCAAGGCATTTTAGTTTGCCTTTCGTCCATTCATCTGGCTCTTGTGGACAAGATATCTCAAGATTGGATGGATGAATTCTGACCGAATTTATACAACAGGTACTAAATACAAAGTTTCAAACCTGTTTATAATCTTTGAAGGTTGTGAGTCAAAGGTGAAGGTCAAAAGTTCATTGATACATAGAAAATCCATTCAAATCTTGTGGACAGTTACTACATCACCAAATTGTGGGGACTGAAACATACAGTATAACATTAATGGGAACATAGGTGTTTTATAAACACAATTTGCATTTGTTGTAAAGGTTAAACACTTCATTTTTTACTTATTTTCAGAACGCTCAGTCACACAGATTCTTCTATGCTGTGGGCATGGTTTGGTGGTAAGGACACTTGACTTGCAATCTACAGGTCGCATGTTCGAATACCTTCACTTTACATGTTTGCCCATACAGCCGTGGGGCATTATAATGTGATGGTCAATCCCACTTGTGTGTAGTGGATGATTTAGATTAGCTGCTGTCCCTTTAGACTATTTATTCAAAATTAGGGACAGCTAGCCTAGATATCCCTTGAGTAGCTTTGAACAGAATACAACAAACAACAATCTTCTATGTTGCTTAACATGCTTGTGACAGTTGTTAGTATTAAGCATTTCTTACTCAAAGTGTTTGAATTGTGTATGTAGGCATATAAAACTAAGAAAATGGCTGATGAGAAGAAGCTTAGTGATGATGTAAGATTATTTAAAGCTTGACAAGAGTCTCGTGCTTTAAAATAAGTAAACATTTCTTTTTGGTTAAAGTAGGCTTAGAAGATTTTGATTTCATGTTGTTATTTAGAATTCAAAGAAAAGTATTATTAGTTTTTGATTATTCAAAAGAACCTTGATCTCAACACAAAGATGGAAGTATATCAAAAGTGATAATAGTATTGCAAGTCTCATGGAACAGTGTTGTGATTATGTGAATTCCACTGCATGACTGCCCCAGTGACCCAAGTAAAATCTATCTTAGGTCAGTTTAAAGTATACTTGTATATTTCTTTGTGCACTTCTCAAAAAAAGTGGTTTTACTGTACAATTTAAAAAAAACAAAAACATACTACTGTTTGGAATTGTCTTATTCCAGAAATGTGTATAATGTTACTTTAGCTAATAGATATATAATATGTTAGTTATTGTTGTAAAATTAGAAAATGTTAGAAATACCATATCAGAAACATTGAAAGCTTCAACATAACTATTTGTTAAAGGCACCAGGAAAAATATTTCACACAAAATGTTTGGATTGTGCACAAGGTGATGCACTTATCATGTAACACTTATTTGAAACAAAGATTTAAATATAAAAATGTCTGAAAAATCATGTTTGTTATGTACAGTGGTTTTTCAAGTAGGTGTAACAGTTTGATTTAAGTATTATGTTCAAGAGGTAAAAAAAGATGTGTTCATTGTTACGCAAGTTGCAGTTTTTATTTGAGGTTATTTATCTTTTTCTTTTTTCAAAGGCTAGACAGACCATATTACGCATTCATACCAAGCATTGGCAACCTGTCCTGTCTGATTCCTTGTTAGAAGAACTGGCTGTTCGAACTGTTGGCTACTGTGGTGCTGATCTAAAGGCCCTGTGTACAGAAGCTACTTTACTGGCATTACGAAGATGTTACCCACAGATATACAAGTCAAGGCAAAAACTTCAGCTTGACTTGAATACAATTAAGGTTGTAATTTCTACTTTTACTCTTCCCTCAAACATAATTCCTCTTTTTATTTTCTAAACTTCTTACAAATGTTTTAATACATAAATACAAGTAATGTAATAGCTGTTGTATTGTTTGAAAATATATTTAGTTATTAGTATTGGCTAAAGTTGAAACTTGTCAAAGTATTTTTTTGTAATTTGATACTAAAATAACATTACTGAAAAATACAAATTTTAAGATTTTTTTTAACATCACTTAAATATTAACCCTATGCATATGGAAGGGTCAAAGTATACATCATCAGTGTATGTCAATAAGCTTGGCATCAAAACACAATTTAACACTCACATTTTTATATTATACAAGTTTTAATTTATTAATTTCAAAAGGAAATGTTTAAATATATTCTTATTTTTCAATTCTCTTGTTACATTCTCTTCTCTGTACTATGAAATTCCCATTTTATGTATATATTTTTCTACCCTTGTATGATTTTCTGAGCATCCAACTAATTAGAAATGCATATTATAAATATTGACAAGTCAGAATATAAACTATATATAAACCTAGTCTTCATGCTTTACTGTGATATGTAAAAAATGTCAAGCCCACATGACACACTCCGTCCATATCATTCTCTTTTGAGTAATTTGTCAATAATTATCTCTAACGTTGTTGTTTGATTATTTATAACCAACAGAAAGAATGTTTTTTTTTTAATGCAAGTTTCCTTATAGGGCTATTTGATTTTGCCTCCTGTATTTAGATATGTAGTTTTAGTTTCATTGTTTTGATTGTGTTTTTCTGCTCTGATCAGCTAATGGGATTTTCTTAACCATCGTTATAGCTTATTTAGAAAACCAGTTAAATTATATTAGTCTTAGGGCATTCTGTTCTAGTACTTGCTAAATTACCTTTATTACTTTAAAAAGAGTATTAATGATTGTGGAGAACCACCATAATACAAATAAACTAGTGCTAAGGATGTAAGTTCTCAAGTACAAATTACTGAAAACTGAAATAGGCTTCAACTATAATGTAGGTCCAAAGTTTCTTATATATTTCTTATTTATTGTTATATATATATTTTTAACTAAACTAAATTTTAAAAATTTGAAAGTTATTAGGTTAGATAAATAAAAAGATTCATGAAATCAGCTCAAGCTAACTGTGTCACTTGATAGTAACCTGACCAGTTTTTTTACACTAAGTTTTCTGTTGTGGTTCATTTCATGTCTGCTTGCTTTTAATTCTGTTAATTCACAATGGTCTTTAGGTACTTGTATAGTATCTAAAGACCACTGTGAAGTAATAGAACTAAAAGCAAGCAGATATGAAAGGTCAGAACACTGAGGCTGTTGGAATAAATAATTACACTGAGTGGTCACAAGTAAATA